GTTAAGAGTCAAGACTTCAAACAATTCTATACGTTCACAAAAAGCGGCCGTTACAGCTACAAGAGTATTCCTTAGAAAACGTATACATAAATCCATCTTTAAACTTGGAATCCCTACGTTCACGTATAGCAAACATTGATAGTGTTTTATCACTAATTATACCAACAGAACTAAAAACAAATGTTACTGAATCTTTTTGAAACAGAAAAAATTCGTATTATCAAATTACAAAAAGTCGTCAAACTATCCTTTCAAATCTAGACATAAGTTCTTGTTTAACCAACCAAAATGTCGAAATAGACACTATCACCTAGAATTTTGATGAATTCAAACAAAAAATTAAGTTCCAACATTAGAATTTTGTTCGCAGCTACGTTTTAAATCTTTACTTGTGTTTTGTGTTAAAATGTTTTGTTAGACTACAGACTTGCTCAATCCTAGAGACAGCTGATGACTATTCAAAATGTTCTCCATTCGAGAACTGATCAAGAACACAACAAAAGACGCTACGTGTCAATTTTTGTCTTAAACTATGTTCTGAAGAGAATAGAGTATTAGTGAACCGTAAATTTCACCTCAATTTACAACGATGAGGTCATAGAGTATGGTTTTTTCTAAAATGAGAGATACTCGCATGAACGAATTAAATTAAATACACATCCTATTTTAAAAAATAGCTACAAAATGTATTTTTCTGAACACCGCTTCTCAAAACTTATACAGAATCAACTCAAGACCTATTCTTTGCAGATGGTTTACAAACTAGTAATAGTTTACCGTACTCTATTCATAACGGCCACACAACACTCCATTTCATCCCCAGACAGGATAATGTACTCATCACAGAAGTGTATCTAACTCGTATGGAGAATAATGTTCTGACTTGCATCCATTAATTCATTTAATTCCATAGCGATTCCAGATTAAATAATAGATAAAAGTCATTTTTGGAAGACGTAAATGAGTTAAGCAAGGTGAGTGATCAGTTTTCGACAGGATCTTTTCACAATTTGCTTCTATGCGGCGCACAAATGTTTTGCACTAACTGCTAAAATAAAGCGAATTTCTAGATCAGAACACAAACATCGAAAATAATCACCAATAAACGATAAAACGAAAGTAAATATTATTCTTTACACAATTCAGACACAAGTAATTTTAAATAGTAGCAAATATTATCATTAAAGCAGCTTTTACCAAGTTCACGTACTTTAGCATTGTCTCGACCAAACGCATCAAATCATAGTGAAAAATCTAAGTACATAATTATTTTTTGATTGAGATCATGAACCGATTGATGTTAGACCACCGTTGAACACCTAGAACAACTGGATGGCCGTTTCGTTCTATTATAGGACTGCTCAGCAAACCCATCCATGATCCTGCTCGCGTGGATCGAACTCACGGCCTTGAGTCTAGCTCACGAACCCTTAACCTACTAAACCTCAACCAATACACTAAAATTGCCCGTTCATCTTCCATTGTACTGAGGTAGACAACTATCTCTACCCGACATGGATTAGCTCCGCTGATCACGGCGTTAGCGCGCGAGACTGAAGGCCGTGTGAAAGAATCTCGCGAGCGTGATCGTTGATGCGCACTGCTGAAGAGTCCCACAATAGGACAAAGCGGCAGTCCAATGCTTCCAGGTTTTCAGTGGTCGTCTCACATCAAACGGTTTAAGAACTCAATTAAAAAAATAATAATTTCCGAAACCCTATGCTGATAATTAATGAGAATTGTTGGATATACTTATTGAAACAATGATTAAAAAGCAGAAAGCATTAAATAATCTTGATAGATCCGAATGAATTCTATTAACGGCCTAAAAGTCAACATGTTTGTTCCATAATTAAGTATAGTACTTTCATTGTTAAATTCATGAGTTGGTTTAAACCGGACGACCATGGAAAACCTGGAAGCACTGGACGGCCGTTTTGTCTTCTTGTGGGATACTTCAACAGTGCACAATCACGATTCCGCCTCGCGAGATTAGACTGATAGATACAAGTTCATGACGTTAGTGGTGACTGTCCACTCACTAGTTTGTATCACAAACTAGCTTCAGTATTTTCACATTTTCCATGATGGTCTTGCTTCAATTGACTCATGATCTTAACTATCACAATCTTGTACTTATTATAATCCTTACTGTAGTTGAATCTACTTCATATCATCTTTCAGACTACTATTTGAATTTATTTTGATGTATAGTTTTCTTACTATTATTAAAAGTTAGTGTTGTTAATCTAAACACAAGGTTTTTTCGTTTATAATGTATCCATAAATCCATGTCAAAAAAGAATCTACCAATCTATATGCCGATAGGCTTAAGGCGCCAGGATCCATGATGTAGGAGAGGGTTTGAATCGCACCTCCAACACACGCTATCCCTAAATGTTCTGGTACGGTCGAACTTGTGAAGTCAGCTCTCCCCAAATGCTCTTACATGGCCACGCGGATACAGCCACTACCACGGACGTCCTACTCACCACCTTCTCGTGAAGAAGGTGTTGAGGGGACGAAAAGAGATTATCTAGCGTTTAAATCAGTTTAGTGGATTTGGAGGATCTGCAGTGGCATTGGGCCCTAACACGAGACAATATGTAAAATAAATATTCAACATTTAACGCGGAGAAAAACCCAACGACGGAGAAGGCAGTAACAATGAATTGAATGAATTGGAGTTTATGGTATGGCATGGCTCGGCCATGTATTGGTAATTCTTACGATGCAGTGAGTTGGTGTAGACGATGATGTGACTTCCACGTAAGATCTTGTAGATTAGGCAGCTACATCATGACAAATCTACAATTATAGTATTAGGTTTATTATCAGAGCAGTACTAATATCATAGTGGACCATAATTCTACAGATCCACCTATAGGGGCTGAAAAACCTTCGTTTCAAATTGAGGGTGCACTTCGCCTTCGAACCCTGAGTTTGCTGCTTTTAGTCTTACCATTCTCCAACCAACATGTCTAGTATGGTTGGACTTTGAGGAACGATTGTTCCGGCCAATATGGCTCGGTTGATTCATCGCTGAAGACATAGTGTTTTTAGTTCTTGCCTAAAATCATCGTGCTTTGATAAAGAGCAAGATAGTGGCTCGACTTAAAACGCATGTCGCTTAGTTGCTTAAACAGAGTGTTTAATTCACTCTTCATATCATCGATCCTTTTTGATCTTGAGGTGGAACTCATTACTAAATTAGAAACAGAGTCATCCAGCAGCACGTGTGGTGTAAGACCAGTCCCAACATTATCAGATACAAAAGGAGTAGCGGAGCAAGAAGAATAGGTAATAACAGAATTGTTAATATCTGAAGAGTTAGGGCTTTTCCGTGCTCGTTTTTTTGACAGCCGACCCATATTGCTTAAAGTATGAATTCTAAATCTATGTATGAGTTATAAACTAGGACTCAACGATACACAATCAATATATATTTGATAGTGTTATGACAGAGCAATTCGTAAACACAAATACATGGAGGTGATTGAAAAGATTGTTAAATTTAAATGGCATAGATGATATAATACAGTGCATGTATAGACTTGGTTAGCGAGTAGCATAATGTTGTATATGATAATTGAAAAACAACAGATAGGAATATGACGGTTTACATTATAGACGTTACTGACGAAATTACTGCAGATAGCTTAAAAACATTTATAAACCTGTGGAAAAGCTAATCGGAACTAAGGAATGTTAAAACATTTATGACTCTAATATACTTTGTCTGTAGACAACACACATTGGCATTGTAGTATGTTGTAGTATAAGACTTTGAAATATATCCTACATCAATTAGTCGTTGCTTTGGTTGTTAGAAGAGAAGTTGATCTCGTGACTACCGAAGAATCTCGACTTTTGAAATGAAGCATCATAATTCTCATGAAAGAACATCCTTCAACTTTTAGGCCACATTTTGAGTGGTATAACTTGTTTGATGTGGTCAGCATTTTGGTGAGATTATTTTCGAGAAAATGGAAATGATGACTTCATTCTGAACCCTCCTCATTTATCTGGAATATGGATCAGCAACAATCCTAGAACGGCTACAAAAACGATATAATAAAAATTCATGTAAATTATCTAGTCAACACAGTTTCGAGTGAACTAACGCTTTCTTGATTAAGAATGCATCATTGCGGTCAAATCCACTTCAATTCTGTAGACAAATAACGAATAATTTCAGTAGGAAATGGCATGACGATGTGTATTCAAACTCACGTAAAATTTCATCGCATGCACTGAACGATGATCTCCAACCTTAATCAATATTCAACGAAAGCATATATTTGGTCAACAGGCAATTATGTTTATCCAGATTATCGGGTGGGGATGAGTTGATCCGTCTCAGTGATTACTATATAACAATACACAGAACGTGATGTGGATTATAGGATCAGCTTGATTCACCACAGTCCTACAGACTGATATGGGCAGAACATATTCACTAGTCGATTCTCAAGGAATCGCAATAATTAATGGACCATCCATACATTGATAAACTGAGGAGGTGAAGTTTAGAAGATTTCATGAGAAAACAATCATTAAACTCATTTTAACTTACATTCTAAATGATCAAAGTGTTTATTCTTAGCTGGAGTAATACCTTAAATGAATTGAAAGCCAAAACATTTGTTTTCATTTTTCTCTAAGAAAAGTTGTGTTGTTTTGTGAAATGAGAATTTCAATCACATTTGTTTTGTGTGTGTGTAAGTGATTGTCAGTCGCATAAACAACTCGTTATTAGAAAACGATGTTTTCTTATTCTAAATAAGAATCATATTACACCCACCGTACAGGACAGAGCATAGAGAATACCATAATAATTGATTAATACGATGGAACGAGGTGATAGACGGCAACAAAGTATAATCCTTGATACTTTTACAGAAAACGTAGGTCAACAGAAATATGTTGCTTAATTAAACGCACAGATTTTAAACACGGAAAAGAAAGATCTTCTATTAATAGGGTTGAGAGATTTTATTTAACGGTGTATAAATATCAGCTTATTTATATCAATAACTAAAAGAATATTGCTATTTTCAACCTCGAAATATCCAATCAGAAAGAAAAAACAAGCACTTGCAAAATCCATATAAACTCAACATCTTGTTGCAAAACTTACTAACGTTTTGAACAAGAAGATGAAGTGAGTATTGAATGCGTAGCAAAGGTAACTGGGATTTTACATGAATTTTAATTTCGTCTAATGAGATATTGTTGCCTTGTTCATCTGAACCTTTCCAGATACAGATTTTCATCTAACCAGTTGAAACCACTCTGTTCAATCATCGTCTTATTTTGGACGTTTTGTGACTGTAAGGACATTTGTAAGGATCCCACAGTACAGACAAATGAAGAAGTAATTTTTGAAAGTGATGCGTACAAATATGTAAGTAATCAGTCATGTTCCAACACACATATTCAGTCACATTTTTATCACTACTCCCAAATTATTCGCCTCAACCAGACTCTTCCAGTTGATGATCGCAAGTTTGAGAAATTAGTTACTCAAAAGGTGAGTTCATTACATTTTGCAATCGAGGTACTAATTTGTATGTTTCTATATATGTTCAGGAAATTGATTCGAAATTCTCCTTTCAATTTTACGGTGTTGACGTGAGCAAAATCAATTTATACACTCATGGTAAGATAATCATTTTCTTTGAACTAAATATGTTACTGAGTTTTATTTATTGACACGTCATTCCATGAATCAAATCTGTTCTATTTTCTTCAGTTAATCTGTTTTATACTTTTTCTAACATTCAAAACTTCCACTGATGTCTTTCCATGTTTGAGTTATAAATATTTTAACGCTTCACAGTTAACTAATTAGGGTTCATGCGATTCATTTTAGTCTCTAGTTAATTTCATAGTCTTTAATTTATTCACAGTAGATTATCAATCCAATTGCATGTTTTCATTCAATAAACACAGGTACAATTACTTTAATCGAACAAACGCAAGTAGCATCAATTGACAGTTATGTAAATTCCCGAATTCCAACTGAATCTGAGTTTTTGGATGACCGTGAGTTCTTGTGTATTCTTATTTCTCACCTTTATTTTCCATAAATAATTCAGTATTTAACTTGATCATTTCATGAGAGCTAACCAGTACACAGTAATTATTTTGTTTTTGTGATTTGATACCCTAAATTGTGCTCACAACAAGTGTTCATCACCTTCAAGCGATAATCTTTAATAAACCAGCGACCTACTTCAAAATAAACACAAATTGATTAAATGAAAATAATACGTCGAATGATGTATTAGCTGAAGTGGGAATCCTCTACTCTTCAGTCTGTTCAAACTACCATAAAACAGATATCTCGTTAATACGATACCTCTTGTTAGATTCAATGAGTCGAACTGATCACAGGTACAGCAAGAAGCAATGTTGTGCGAAAAATCAGTTCGCATTGATGAGGCACATGAACTTTCAAATCATATTTGATGTTCCTCAAATCTTTTCTGTCACTTACGTAGTTGCTATAACTTTAATGTCCCTTGAGCACTATCTGTACACCATTGGATATCCAACACTTTCTTGATTATCACGTGTGTATGACTCATTCTGATCCTCAAACATCAAATCAACGAACAAACATAAACAGTCAGATAGTACAACAAAAGTAATTTGAATCGGAACACCAAGAACATCAAAATGAAGTCCATCTATTTTGTTCAGTTATCGAAATTAATGACATTTGAGTAGCATTTCTCCGTAGTAAATAGTTTTGAATTGAGAGAACACTGTTCCATTGAAATGAGCGACTTTTCGAAAATGATTTCGTATGTGTATTGTCTGTTAGATGTTGACGCTTTTTTTCGTTAGCCAAAAGCTTTTAAAATCAACGTTTCAGAAGTGAAATATTCTTCTCAGTTGGTTGGATTGAGACATTCATCACATCGTTGAAATAATAATACGGATCAGTGATACTCCAATTTAATTGTATCAAAGCAAAGTAATTCTGTGTTGAAATATGTTTATTGAAAGAAACGAACATTCATCAAGTAGATATACAAACACAAATCTCTTTTGCTTTCATTACTTTAGAGAAATTTTTAGCTGTCAGAAGTTATTATAATCTAATTGTTGGTGATGAAAGTATGTATTAATAAAATGATTGCTGGGTCATTTGTTAAATATTAGCACTTACACCATCATTCATTGTATTCACGCACACTTTGTTTGTTCAATTCGCTTAATTGAATTCATTTCAAAAACTGACTGAATTAATGAAGTGTAATGACTCCGGAAAATCCGGAAAAATCTCTAACAAACACTGATATGTCTATGTGTTGCAGAAACAACTCAAATACCAAGTGCTATTTGTGTGCGAACACTCCGCAACTCATGTCATCTGTGCTTAGGGTCCATTTTTTCATGGATAGTTGAAGAGAATATTGTGATAGTGTGAATATCTTTCCAACTATCAGATCTAATTTTGAGCCTGATGAATGATTGTCTCAATATGTAAATGTCGGTGGAACAAAGCCCCGAAAACTCATCACCTGACATCCATTTTAAAGAATGCATGCATGTTTCATTTAAACGACGTCCACTAAATTGTAATTATTAACAGTTAAACTAAAGAAAGCATTTGAGATAAAACAGTGAATATCTGCTCGAATCTGATCACTGTGAGTAGGCACCTACAGATTCACATCTAACAATGACATGCCCACCACTCATTCCTCAGATTTTAAATATCAATCGTCCCCTGTTTTCAGGTGTTACATCCAAGGTAACCACTGTGATGCATTCTAATGGGAAGATATCTTTCTATTATGAGAACGTAAGTTACACAAATGATTGCAAATATTGTTTTGTTTCGGGTACTTTAAACTATTCTACTAGTTCGTGCATAACAATAATGTCGAATGCATCAATATACACTGAACACGACAGAACGGGGTCAAAATTTTGTGATGTGCACACAAACTACGTAAAACTAATAATAATTAATTGGTGACATAATTTATTCTGGCACGATTTTAAAACAGTGGACAATAAGAAGTGATGTGATATCCATGGAAACACTTTCGTCTTCGCGCCGATTAAAAATGCACAAAGAATGTGGAAGTACTGTACGGAAACAGTTGTATTCCACCAAACCTCACCACATCTTCTGATAATCAGCTGCTATGAAAAGCTTTTCTGGAATATTCTGGTTAATTTATTGATGAACACTGATCGCTTCTCAGTGTGTAAATATTCGGTTTCCAATCTTTGATATTCGCAATTCAATAGATGTTGGATAAGTATAAATAGATCGTGAGATGAAAGATTTCGTGTGTGCTGAACTGAATTATGTTTTAATGTTTCGAGGTAATCAGGACACATTATGGGAAGAATCCTCTTGAGAAACCAACAGTAATGAATTGAATTTAGCACATCAACACAATTTCACTACATTTCAACACATTTACATACAGCAACATTGTAGTTATTCACAATCGCATTACTATAAACGGACGTAGATATCCATCTCACAGTGTATCGCCTTATCCCGTGACAAAAAGATATTTAATCTAAATTTACTGAGGTTGACAACTGAATTGAATCACAATAGCTTAGTAGACTAGATGAAGCGTAGTTCTCAGGGGACTGTGTAGATCGGAATGCTTACTACGATTGTGATTAGTTGCTTTTGTGAAAGATAATGTGAGTGACGACATATCGCTTCGATGATTAGTTGGTTTTGATGTAGGTAGTTGTGTGTTGACAGATTTTTACTTAGACTTCCATTGCTTCTTTTCAGATTCCTAAGCAAACTGGTAAAGTACATTCAATATTGATCTTTGACGGTAAAATTCAGTGTGGAAAAAAAGGTAACAAATGTTATTTATATTCTATTTCAAACTGATCTACATCAAATATAATCTGTTTGCCTTATGTTACTACCTTCTTGTACGCTATCATCATTTTCTCAACACAGATATTTGCTATAATCTGTCATATTCATGTAATACACCTTTCTTACAGTCTACAGTAATCGCTTGTTACGTGTGTAAAATAAATTGACCAAAATATCATTAAATTGTCAAGGAAAATTATGAAAAAATTAAATCCGAGTGCGTTTTGTTAACTCGCGTCGCTGTTTTTTGAAAATTCAACGAAAATGAGGTGTTTGGACATCTTGATACAAGACTTTAGTATCAGATGTCATAGATTCACGATCAAAGCTCATCCTGAAAATATCTAGTGTTTGTGATGAAGTCTTTGGAACAATAGACAGATGAAATTTTCCGGATTGAAATCAAAGCATCTGTGTCCTCGATTAAATAACTTCATCCATTTTGGTATAATGTAGCAGATTTGAATGAACTTCACGATCCACGTCTGCTAACGCTTGCCCAACCAGGTATACTGAGTGATATAACCAAGATGTGTGAATATCGTCATCGTACAAGAGCGGATGGATATTTGCAGAAGTCTTCAGTATATGTCTAACGATTGACTGATCCAGACAAGAATATATGAACGATGATATTAGATAGCCGATATATCTACTCATTTATTCACTCGCTCACTCACTCAGTAATCCATCGACCAATTTTTCAGTCTATATTCATATCACTGCACAATGCAAAACGAAGTGTTCTTTTATCGTACGGGACCGATTGTTGTTTTATACAACGCTCATACGTCATGCTACACTGACATGATCGTATGTTGTTGAAAGATGGAGTTGAGTTCAAAGACATGGATTGAGTGTAAGTGATTATGTTGGATATAATGTTTTATGAGTGAATATGAGAAAATGCATTAAATATTTCGTCAAGAGGTACGTGATGATCAGTTGAAATGTATTAGTGAGTCTCAATGTTGACTCATGGTGAAATAATTTGTAACGAGTTGACCATGTCTTTCTAAAGGTGTTTCACTGACAAACTTGTTAAATAATTTAGAAATTTAAACATGTTTAATTGACACTCTAGAAATGATAAAATGTTTCATTCGTATTGGTTGAACAATGGTCACTTTTGAAACAAAAAGCACGTTTTGCGAGGATGTTGTTTGACTGTCATTGTATCCGTAATCGCAAATTAAGCAGTTTTCTATTTTGATCACTCCTTGAACGAGCAAACAACCTGTTGTAGTTAAAATGGAAATCAAAATTTCGAATATTTTCTGTGCATTTCATCTTATTAGATGGGACAAAAAGAATTGTTCCTGGTGAGTGGATCAAAAGTGGAACATTGGTGGAGTACGAAGTTTCCGGAGGTATGTTAAACCTTATTATATCGGAGTTAACTATCTTCACACATAAACTCACCACTTGTGTTTCATTAAATTGGAAATTTCTTGTGTAAATTCACAAGTTGATATCCACACATGAGTCTCAACTGACGTTAAACTACACGTCGATTCGCTGTTGAATGTTCAAAATTATGGAGGATGGATGTTGAACTGCTATAGATGTCATCACTTCGATGAACTTTACTCAAACAAAATGTCACAAAACTATGAATGAGATGATAAAATTCATCTAATTGATTGTGCATGGACTTAAAAGTTTCCATTGTTTTTATACAAGATACATGGAATTCTGAATATATGTGAAATGTTTAAATTTCAGAAACACTCCATGCAATGGAAATCACCTTGAAAACAAAAACTTAATTTTCGAAATCTATACATTATCCTACTCATCCGATAAATCGAAAGAATAGACAAACGAAGTGTTCAGATTTCAGTTTATCATAGGCAGTAGATACTGATAAAGTATCACAAATACTGACAATTTTCATGGTTTCAAGGTGTTTCATTTCTCCTGAATATGTACAGTGAAATGTGCATGACATTGTAAGTATACTGAATTACACTTTGTGTAATGTGATAATAAATTCTCATTGGATGGAACAGTCACACAACTCAAAAATCACCATAATAACATTGGTTTATGATTACACGTTTTTAATACACTTATCGTTTGTTTGATCAATTGAAATGCAAACGCTTTATTCTTTTCACTGAAGATTGTCCAAAACACAATACGATTAAAACATGTAAAGATGCAACAACATTGAAAACAATGTGTATGTGGTGTGAAATAGCCAACACATGCATTACGAGCAATGACATGGATAGTCATGAATTCAAAGTAAATGGTTGTCAGAATAAAGTAAGTAATTGATAGACTTCACTGGTTGCTTTCAATATTACCAAATTCTACATCGTAAATCTATTTACTTGGAAAAATATTATATTGCAACATGTGGGTAATGCTTTGTATACTTCACGTAATCTATAAATCAAAGCATCGTATACATTGGCAAATCTCAGTCAGATATGAGTACAACGCTCTGTTTACATGTGAACGTCCAACGATATATAGAAGCGTTGCTTAACATTAAGGCCTGAAAATTTGTTCATTAGTCGGCTCATAGAATATATAGTGTCAAATCGGTATCAGATTTTCTAACTTATTATTCAATAATCACATTGTGCAAATGTAAACTGTGTTACTATTAGTTTAATAATGCTCTTTCTTCAATACCGACAATAGTGAATAATGAATGATGAATTATTTGATTCATATATGATAGTTAGTAATAATGTCACTGTTTTTTTGTTCTTCAGAATAGCCCGAATATCAACGTGTCAATTGAACCATCACTTACCATACAAGAAGAAATAACTTCAGACACTACTAAATCTGACATGGGAAATGAACTGGAGATAACTACTGAAAACACTGAAACTCATTTGGTAAATATTTGATATTTGGTATAATTGCCACTTTTTTTCTTCAGACGATCTCAAATGTCAATGTTTCGTAAATATTTGATATTGAGTAATTATTGTACTGTTTCTTTTTTTTCAGAATATGACTGTACAGATAACTGAAGATAGAGAGTACACAAAGTCCCGCAATTACTCATATATTGTAATACCTGTGGTTGTCAGTTTCATTGTTGTATGTACTGGCTGTGTCATAGGGCTATGGATTTACAGAAAAAAGAAAGCTTTGCCATAGTCTTCATGGATAGTTTTTCATGGAACCACATATCATGTTCTTGATTGTTAACATAAGTGATGTATTTTGTTTAAAGAATATAAAATATGGTTTATTGTACTTATGTGACTGAATTTATCTTAGTTTACAACATTGCCCTCGTTAAGTAATGGTGTCGTGTATACGTGGTTTTGTAATAATTGGAACCAACAATGATTCCGTTGTGAATGTCCAGTTTGATGAAGTCTAACTACTGAAAAATATCACTTGAAATTGACAACGTTGATTGTTTGAAACTGAACGGTCAACATACCTCGTCAATAGTTAATAAAGTATCTCAATCATTCATTATTTGGATAATCACTGTTCAATGAAAGCTTGATGACAGACTACTGTAAATTAGGTATTAAGAGTGCCGATTATGGAATTGTTTTGGAGTTCGGTTGATATTCAAGTAGGAATAAGTAAAGATTTGGATTGAATGAACTAGTATCAGTTTTGCCTCAGCACTGCAAAATACGATGACAGCTTTTAAAACAAATACACTGCAGAGTTTGTGTCAAGGATTGGTAACTGAGTGGGCTCAGTATTTGTAACTTCACACATCGTCTCATTACATACTTCGTTACGCAGCATGAATACCAACTGGCTTCTATAAATAAATTCACTACACCACATTAAGTGAACACAGGAATGATAAATGTTTTCCAGTGGCAAACCGCATTCTCGGAAATCATGCATTCTTCGTAAAGCTGAATACTTAGTATATGGGAAACGTGGATAGACAAAGCTGTTATTGGGTGTACCATTCTTCTTCTTGATATGTTGGACTGCTGTTTATTCCGCTAATGATAATATCAAATTCTTCTATTAAACCTTAGTAATAATGGAGCTTATGATGATGGCGTTTCTTCCTTAACCACGATTTTGAAAGGTACATTCCACATAAGAGAACGATTATATGCCTCTCTCAATCCGTTCTGTAATGATTATAAACCTCTTTTGGTTTGTTCCATAATTTCATTTTGAACACCGTCAGTGTACAGTCCACTAAGTTATTCGAAGCGTTGTCTTGAAAAGGGCACAAGCTAAACATGTTTTCATAGCTTTCAAAAACCATTCCAATGCTTTGATAAGGCATTCCATGGCTTTCCGTGTTAAGTGTTTTCAAGGGATTTAATTCCAAATTTCAACACTGAGTTCCCGTTTTGTGAAGCAAACTCAACACAGTTGAATCTGAATACATCTCCAGATACGTTCACTTTTCTGTAGTATTATATGCACCATTTTTAAACGACGTCATACTTTAAATTCATGTGGATAAACTTCCATCAGATTTAACGACGATCACCACTCTTTGTTGTCTATTCAAATTCAACTACCTTCCATACGCATAGGTTGTTTCCCAGACATATTTCATGAATTGATCCATAATATAGTCAGTGATATTGAAAGTGTTGGTGTTCGTCCAGATAATCTCAATATTTATGGTTCTCATAAAATATCTCATGACAAATGACTAGTTACTTCCTTACGCCGTCTGCATGAGAAACCTTTACAGTCAATTCAAATAAAAATGTTCATTGTATGTATCTGATTTCGAATATCTTGGATATTGGGCTGACGTTAATTATTCTAGACCAGATATGGGGCGAGGAGCCCCACATACATTTTCGCCATCTCGAACCACCCTCACACAATTACGCTCACTATCATGTACTCTTAATTATAGTTCGTTTTTTTTAATTTCAATCTTCTTTATCGTGCAATCTCTTTACTTCGATACTTGAGATATATATTATGAACCATCAGACAGTTTGAAATGCTGGCCTGGAATGTAGACATCCGGTGTATTTTGCCAAGGTTGAAGGATAATTCACTACTTCTGATTGTATTTCCTTCTCAAATGATAATGCCACTAGTCTTGCATCATGTCGTAAATTTGATCATCACAGTGGACAATTCATTCAAGGATAATAATAAGTCAATTTGATGACCGATATGTTAATAGTTTCGTCAACTTTATCAATCATATTACGTGATTGTCAAGTCATGACAATGCTTCATGACGATATCCTGAAACCATTAGGTCTAACTAATTATAGTGTTGATTGAGGATTAGCCGGTGGAAAAAATAGGTATTGTTGCTTTAGGTGATTTGAAATTATCAGAAATTTGTGGCGTTGACGAAACCGAGCCGCCTAATTATATTATAAATTTCAATTCAAGAATATACATCTAGTGTTAATTTTAGTAATAGGTTCCGGAGTTTTAATTTTAAATGTTTGTTTAGCCAACAACTATCTGATAGTTTAGCTATCATACTAAGGCAGTATGCTAGTACTTGAATTTGTAACTTTATGATCTAAACTATTTTCACTATCTCCAAAAACACTCACACAATTTTTATTTCCAATCTTGTGTATCGTGCAAGCTCTCTACTTCGATACTTCAGATATGTACTATGAACCATCCGAAAGTTTGAAGTGCTGGTCTGGAATGTAGTCATCCGGTGTATTTTGCCAAGGTTGAAGGATAATTCACTACTTCTGATTGTATTTCCTTCTCAAATGATAATGCCACTAGTCTTGCATCATGTCGTAAATTTGATCATCACAGTGGACAATTCATTTTTGAGAAAATGAAATCCATAGCAAGGCTCACATATTCGTGGTTGTAGGTACACACTAAAATTTATGTCAAACAGCGAATAATTGTGAATCGTCATCGGTCATAAGTCGATCCATTTGCAGGAGATTCGCTCGACTGCTTATACTGATTGTTTGCATGCATGATTGTGTCGCTAAACCTCCAATTAGACTGACAAGGTTTTGAGATACTTACTGAATGAGCAACTGATAAACATACTGTAATCATCCGTAGTGAATGAAAAGAAAAACAACACTACTCAAGGATATTTATTTATTTATTTATTTTAACACATAGGTATAGGTACAAGGAGGCACCAAGTACATATGCGCCACACGAATCTCAATTGATTTGTGTGAGGGCTGTGATACTGCCCGGGTGCCCAAACCGAAGCAGGTGGTTTTCTTAGGGGGCCACACCCCGAGCCTTTGACCTGAAGATCTGATCCACAAGGCAGTGGAGCATCGTGAGGAGATGCAGTCCCATGGTAGCCGGTGACCGACGATTGGTTCATACGCCATTTGATCCTTCAGGATACTGGAGCCCATGTGCACCATTGATTTGGGATCCGGTTAAAGCGCCGGAAATTCGCTTTTTGTCCTCTCATTTTCGTAAACAACACCCCCGCCATGAGAAGGCAGTGAGTAGGACTTCTCTGGCAGAGGCTATATACGCGTGGCCATGTGAGAGTATTTCGAGAGGGAGAGCTGACTCGCCCCACTCTCGGCCGTACCAGGGCATTTGGGGGCACTCAAGGATAATAATAAGTCAATTTGATGACCGATATGTTAATAGTTTCGTCAACTTTATCAATCATATTACGTGATTGTCAAGTCATGACAATGCTTCATGACGATATCCTGAAACCATTAGGTCTAACTAATTATAGTGTTGATTGAGGATTAGCCGGTGGAAAAAATAGGTATTGTTGCTTTAGGTGATTTGAAATTATCAGAAATTTGTAGCGTTGACGAAACCGAGCCGCCTAATTATATTATAAATTTCAATTCAAGAATATACATCTAGTGTTAATTTTAGTAATAGGTTCCGGAGTTTTAATTTTAAATGTTTGTTTAGCCAACAACTATCTGATAGTTTAGCTATCATACTAAGGCAGTATGCTAGTACTTGAATTTGTAACTTTATGATCTAAACTATTTTCACTATCTCCAAAAACACTCACACAATTTTTATTTCCAATCTTGTGTATCGTGCAAGCTCTCTACTTCGATACTTCAGATATGTACTATGAACCATCCGAAAGTTTGAAGTGCTGGTCTGGAATGTAGTCATCCGGTGTATTTTGCCAAGGTTGAAGGATAATTCACTACTTCTGATTGTATTTCCTTCTCAAATGATAATGCCACTAGTCTTGCATCATGTCGTAAATTTGATCATCACAGTGGACAATTCATTTTTGAGAAAATGAAATCCATAGCAAGGCTCACATATTCGTGGTTGTAGGTACACACCAAAATTTATGTCAAACAGCGAATAATTGTGAATCGTCATCGGTC